GGGGGGGGTTTCCATGGCAATGTATTTGTATTTCTGTCTATTCAGACCTGAGATTTAGACAGCTCTGCCACACAGCAGAGTCTTGCCTGGCAGGGCTGCAGTTCTATAATACTTACAGGCAGGGCCGTAACTACAGATCACGGGGCCCCATAGTAAAAAGGTTATGGGCCTAGGGGCGTCCTGAGGCCAGGTGTCACCTCGGTACGCCTCTGGGTCACAGGTGAACGGTTACCGGGTGACACCCCGCTGTGACATTACCGCATATGCGCGTGACATCTTATTGATACCTGCCGGCGGCCATCTTGGTGATGGACGCCGGCAGAGAGGAGGGGACGTTCACCCGGCGGGATGAGGTATGCCGCCGTGTCCCCTCCACTCTGCTGACACTGTCGGGCTCTCGGTCCGTGACCAAGTGCCCGACTTTTCAGAGGGGGTGACACCACTCCCACCCTCAATGTTACAGTGCTGTGTTATCTTTACATGTTCCATGTTTAATTTGACCTCAATTACCTAATGGGGCCCCCTTCCACCCCCAGGCCCCATAGTAGGCACCTGGCCTGCTATGGATATAGTTACACCACTGCTTACCGGCCACGTCCCTCCCCCAGCCTGTGACTGGACAGTGAAGAAGAAGTAGCAGCAGAGTGATGAGCTCATCTCTCTTTCACTCTGCTCTCTCATGCTATCAACATGCTTCTTGCACTGCAGCTCAACTGACTTGTGCTGCTTCTCCCATTATGAGCCTTGCTGTAACAGTTGACTGCCGTGTGAAATAGGAACTATCAATACTTGATTAAAAAATACATTTAGCAATATTATATAAAATTAATTATTTTGTGTTTTCTAAACATGTCTGCAGTTCAAACACTGCTCTGACCGACTGTCATGGCGTCCCATGATATAAAACCAAGAGAGGAGATTCCAGGGACAGTCACATCCAGCTTGGCACTGTCCCTGGAAGCCAGCAAAGCTCCAGTAATGCAGACCGGATGTCACAGTGTCACCCGGAGAGCCGTCTCCTGGTAACAGATTTCTGCAGTGATACATTGGAACACAGAAGCAGGGGGCGTGTCCGGAAAAAAAAAAAGCTGTGACAAGGAGGTGGGCGGGGCGCAGACGGCTCCGCCCCTGGCAGCCTGAAAGTGCCGAAGATCTGCTCGGAGCTCAGATCGGGTACGGACAAAGCGGACAGAAGATCGCGGGGACACCTGAGAGCCACACGCAGCATACAGGAGCCATCAGAGGGGCCAGTGACACCCTGCGGGCACCTGCCGGAGACATGACCGACACTCTCATCCCGGGGAACTTGAAGGGCAATGCCCTGCCGAGTCAGAGCTACTTCCTTTTTTTTACAAATAGCCTCTGAAAATTTTCTTTTTTTAAATATTAAAAAGTCTGCTGCATGGTGCGTCCAGCTGTGAAGCACTACAACTCCCAGCATGCTCTTGTCACCATTGTATGCTGCAGAGATTGGCAGGGCGCTGGAACTGTTTTTTTGGATTGTGCCGTCAGTTTTGTGCCCTTTTTCCAAATCCTATTAGAATATTTTCAGCAAGGTGCTTGCCCTGGTCTCTCTAGGCACGGGGGGACTACAAGTACAAGCATGCCCTCTTGCCCTGGTCTCTCTAGGCACGGGGGGACTACAAGTACAAGCATGCCCTCTAAGCCCCCCGCAGGGCATGTTGTGTATAAATGAGATGTAATCATCCCCCTGTACCTGGAAAGTGTCCCTGGCAGGTCTATGTGGCAGATCAAAGGCGTGTTTTTGTTTGAACGGAGGCCCTGGCACAGCTTTCGGGCAGCGCGGGGTGTCATGTGACTTTGCAGCGCAGTTTGCTGGGACTTGCGGTGCCCCCCTGGAGAGGATTGTTCTGCACGGATTGGCTTTGTACCAGCGATGATGAAAACGACAACAGCAGCATTGTGTGTGGAGAAAGGACGGTCTGGTTGACTTGGCAGATCATTGCCTTGTTTTCTTTACCCGCAGGCACCGGCGTTGGCACGGCCGGCGAGGGGTTAACGACCTCGTCTGACTCACGTTTCCATCACAGGTTTCACGGTGGCTCTTTAAAACAAAAAAAACCCCCAAAACCGGTGGCCCTCGTCAGCGCTGGCTTTGTAGTGAACGGGCTCGGGGCTGCGGTTAGTGCGTTGGGTACGTCATAGGGTGGAACTGGCCCATTAGAGATGGGCGGAGGGCACAGATTTACTAGATGATGGTTTACGAACCTTCCTGTCATTATAAACAGCTGTCGCAGGTTCAATCAAAGGAAACGCAGCTCATTATCTCTGTCATGCAGCCACTTTACTGCTATTATTCATGGGGGACCCAGAACCGGGACAGGGAATGATGTGTGCCGAGAACAACCGAGACATAGGGGACCCAGAACCGGGACAGGGAATGATGTGTGCCGAGAACAGCCGAGGTGACCAACGAAATCCGGGTTCCTGGCTCCGCCCACTTGTTGAGCCTTTTTATAAGAAGGGGGGTCTCGCCTTTGCTGGGAACTCTGGCAGGGATTTCCTAAGTGATGTTGAGTCTTCTATATGAGGGGGGTTTTGGCTTTGCTGGGAACTCTGGAACTTCCTAAATGATGAGCTTTCTAAATAAGGGGGTCTCACCTTTTGCTGGGGGCTCTGGTAGGGACATACTAAATCATGTTGAACCTTTTTTATAAGGGGGTCTTGGCTTTGCCTGGAACTCTGGCAGGGACTTCCTAAATGATGCTGAGCCTTTTATTAGGGGGTCTCACCTTTTGCTTGGGGGCTCTGGCAGGGACTTCCTAAATAACGTCGAACCTTTTATAAGGGGGTCTCACCTTAGCTGGGAACTCTGACAGGGACACCCTAAATGATGCTGAGCCTTTCATAGGGGTCTCCCCCATGCTGGGGGCTCTGGCAGGGACATACTAAATTATGTCGAACCTTTTTATAAGGGGGTCTTGGCTTTGCCTGGAACTCTGGCAGGGACTTCCTAAATAATGTCGAACCTTTTTATAAGGGGGTCTCACCTTAGCTGGGAACTCTGGCAGGGACTTCCTAAATAACGTTGAGCCTTTTATAAGGGGGGGTGTCTCACCTTTGCTGGGAACTCTGGCAGGGACATCCTTAATAATCTTGAACCTTTTTATAAGGGGGACACTGACGGGGACACCCGTCAGTGTCCAGTGGCTCTGACGGGGACACCCTAAATGATGCTGAGCCTTGGAACTCTGGCAGGGACATCCTAAATGATATAAACCCACAATTCAGCTTGCCGGGTGCCACCTATAACTGAAATATTATTACTGGGCCTTAAAGTGTATTTCCACCTAAGCAGTCAAATTTGAGAACCCCCAGCACACGCCTCCCCCTTCCCTACTATGTGTTGCCATTCACACACAGCATATCCTAGAAAATAATAAAATAAATAAATACAAATGTAAAAACATATATAATGTTATTGTTTCTCTGGCTCAGGATATACATGGAACACTATAGGCAGCTTCTGTTGTTTAGAACGGATGACAATGTGCACTTCGGGGACACAGATTGAGGGACAGTAAAGTGCGTTATCATACAATGTGTCACATGTACTGTGCAAACACCCACTTTATATTTGTTACATGGTATCCTTCACATCGCATAAAGTAAACAAATATTTATAAATAGCTGTTTATCTTTTTACTCGTCTTATTTAAAGAGCAACTCTGGGATTTTTAAAAGCGGGCAAGCTCCACTGCAAGGGTTAACGGCTCATTTTTTGTCTAGGGATGGAATAAAGAAGAAATCCCCCCCCCCTGATCCTCGATCCCGCCTGGCTGCTAGACTGGATTCCGCAGCCTCTTCTCCGTCGGGCCTCCGCGGAGGGGGAGAAGAGGCTGTGGGGACCGGTCTATTAGCGAGGCGGGACCAAGGATCCGGTGAGTTTCTTCTTTATTTCGTCCCTGGACAAAAATGAGCGGTTAACCCTTGCAGTGGAGCCGCCCACTTTTAGAAATAATCCTCTTTAAATAAGACAAGAAAAAAAAATAAACAATGATTTTAATGTATGCGATGTGAAGGATACTATGTAACAAATATAAAGCAGATGTGATCCCACTTTGGATACACAAGTGGAAATATTATAGGAGAACTATGAGGTTAAGGCTTTTCCCCATAGTTCTCCTTAGGGTAACGGGAGGACGCAAACTAGCGTCCTCCCGTCACCCTAAGCTCAGTATATAGGGAGCTACAGCTCGCGGTATACTGAGACGCCGCAGCTGAAGCGGATCCCGACAATTATGTCTGGATCCGCCCAGCTGCGTGAGTGCCAGCTGGCTCTGCCTATCTAGAGGCAGAGCCAGCTGGCACTCACGCAGCTGGGCGGATCCAGACATAATTGTCGGGATCCGCTTCAGCTGCGGCGTCTCAGTATACCGCGAGCTGTAGCTCCCTATATACTGAGCTTAGGGTGACAGGAGGACGCTAGTTTGTGTCCTCCCGTTACCCTAAGGAGCACTATGGGGAAAAGCCTTAACCTCATAGTTCTCCTTTTAAGTTCGGGATTACAGTTGGATGTCTGCGCAGCGCCGGCTGTACAGTGCACATTTTTGCACAGATTGATTACGATATTACAGTATTGATTATCAATGACAAAGTCGGCGATTCAACGAAGTGTAGAGATCCGTTACGTATCTTCCAGCATGCTGAGAATGATTTGGGGCGATACAATGTTGCAGAGAACACAGAACACCTGAGGAGCTTTCCCATCATGAAGGCACGGGTGGTTGTAAGAGATTGATTTTTATATTGATCGTTTATAGATTGTTTTGCCGAGAAGATTTGTCTTTGTTTGTGGGCCCTATATTGATCTGATCGGTCTCGCCTGAACCATACATGTGATATCATACGTGTGGGATGACTCAGTACTGTGCGCATGTAAGGACAGAAAATATTTGTGTAGCTTTATCTGAATATTTATTTACTTTACATTGCAACATGTTTATACAATAAGGTGGAGCCGAGCTACCGGGATATGCTGAGCGCAGCAAAACTTTTCAGCCAATTACATATAATTTAAAGCTGAACTCTGAGATAAGTAAAAGTCATGCGTGTTCTTCCTGAATCTCGGTGAGCTTTGTGTGTTTCTTACAGACCTGTGCAGTAATCCCGTGTGGGACATGGAGCTTCCTGTAATAAAGACCGCTCACTGCTGCTCTCTCTTTCTTCAGGGTGACTGGTCTTGTCTCCGCCCCCTCCTAGAAAAAAGGCCGCTCACTGCTGCTCTCCTTGTGCAGGGTGATCTTGTCTCCGTCCCCTCCTGTATTACAGACTGGTCACTGCTGCTCTTTCTTTCTACAGGGTGATTGGTCTTGTTTCTGCCCCCTCCGGTAATAAAGACTGGACACTCCTGATCTTTCTCCTTGTGACTGGTCTTGTCTCCGCCCCCTCCTGTGAAAAAGACCGCTCACTGCTGCTCTCTCTTTCTACAGGGTGACTTGTCTTGTCTCCGCAGCGTCGGATATGAAACCGGTTAAGAAATCTCAGATAACTCATGACAACCAATCAGATGCAATCTTGCCCTCTCTGGAGGTCCAATTCCAGAAATCTGATTTGGTTGGTATGAATTGTCTGAGAATACTTTTGTCACAATCGCTATTATGAATATGACCCAGTCAGTCTCAGCAAGCCCTGACTTGTCTCCGATGCTCACAAGCTGACCTTTCTTTCAATGGACGCCATTTAAGGGCTGTGTATGTTATTGTGACTCTCTACGCCCCTCGAGGTGACAGAAGCTCTCAACATAATCAGATGAGCAGCGGGTGAGGGTGGCGGCGTGAAGTGAGTAGAAAAATACAATACCGTATGTTGGAAAGTAAAGGAGGTTTTCATGGCTGACCTTGAGAGATTTATAGTGCTAACTACAAAACAACACGGGTCTGCCACTCACCGCACAGTCAAGATGATAAAGAGGACCTGTCACATGTCCTCCATAGCAGAGGTAGCCTGAGATAGAAGGCAGTTTTATGTAGCTTCAATGTTGGTATCTGGTCTATAAATGGCGGCTCTGGATGGACAGTTGGATAAATGGCTCTATATTTAGGATGTATCTGGTCTATAAATGGCGGCTCTGGATGGACAGTTTGATAAATGGCTCTATATTTAGGATGTATCTGGTCTATAAATGGCGGCTCTGGATGGACAGTTGGATAAATGGCTCTATATTTAGGATGTATCTGGTCTATAAATGGCGGCTCTGGATGGACAGTTGGCTAAATGGCTCTATATTTAGGATGTGTCTGGTCTATAAATGGCGGCTCTGGATAGACAGTTGGATAAATGGAAAGTGGCTACAACACAGTATTGACTTTTTTTTATTTT